ATGAATTTTGGTCTGGTCTGTGGTCCGCTACTCGGACCCAGTCTTTGGAACCAAGACCGGACCAGGACGGACCATAATATCCCTAGAAAAACCGCAATAATCTCTATCATCATCAGAAAATGATATGTTTGTATCGAAATTATATTCATCTTTTCCCTCATTATCAGAGAATTTCTCACCATCGTTCTCATTATCATTATCATCATCAAAGTCATAAGGATTCTCATCATAAGGATTCTCATTATCAGAGGATTTCGAGTTAGAATCTAAAGAATTATCAAACATGCTTACTTTGCTGGCATTTGGTAAAGATTTAATATCCTCATTCCTATCATCATTATTATTATCTCACCTGAAGAATTGTCCTGATTGTCGGCAAATTCTATGTTAGGCTTTTTAGCGAAATGATCAATAATAGTTTGAATCTGTAAATTAGTAAATCTTGAAATAGTATCTGTGCTATAGGTTTTGATAAATTGAATTTTATCCATTCCGATTTTTTCGAATAAATTGTAAATTCTTAAAGCTTTTTGTGTTTGTTTACATAAATTCTTGCGTTTGGTTCCAGGAATTCGTTTGATAATAAAATCATATACTTGACCCTTTGCTTTTTTCTCCCCTATTTCATTATTGATCATAAAATCTTTAACCATGCCTTTGAATCTTTTAGCATAGAAACACCAACATGATATTTCACTTTGATTAGCTTCGATTGCATCTTTTTCCGCATCGCATGCATTTCGATATAGGCAGATAATAACTTGGATTATTTCAGAATTTTGTGTTATTTCAGAATTGTCACAATTTGGACGAACAATGTTCGCTGAAATTCTGACATTGTCACAATTTGGATGATCATTGTTCACTTCAGTTTTGATTGCATGATTTATTTCTTGTATTAAACCTTGCTCACCTGAAATATTGGCAGAAGTTTCCATTATAACGATTCTTACGACACATGAATTATCTTTATGATATGAAACAGGATCTTGGTTGTGAGATGCGTCATCATTTTGTAATAGCTTTTTTTCCCGTTTTCTTTCTCTAATCTCATTTCTAATATGTTCTTTGTGTACCCGTTCTAGAAATTCGATCTCTTTATTTTCAAAAGATACGTTAGAATTTGGAGTATTATTGAGTTTATCAGAATTTGAACTAATATCAGATACATTAGATACAAGAGTATCATCATTTGAATTCGTTTTACAAGGGACAACGACCAAAGAGTTATTATTTTCTTCAGTACCATCTTCTAATAATTTTGGATTAGTATCGATATTATCAGAATTGTTTTGTAATGTTTGTTCTAATTTTGCGACCCTAGATTTAAGTTCATCATTTTCAGTAGCAGTATCTTTATCGTTCTGCTCTAGTTTCATGAATCTGGATTCATGTTCTTCCAAAGTTTGTTTTAATTTTTCATTTTCAGCCTTGACTTTTATATTCTCAGCTTTAAGTTCAGTGTTCTCAGTTTTGATTTCAGCATTCTCCTTTCTAAGCTCTGCAATTATGGCAATAAGCTTTGAATTTAATTCTCGTAATGAAATAGTTTCAGATAAGTCTTTAGTCTTGTCTTCCTGTGTTCGCATATTTAATATTATATTATATAACTTTATCACAAATGTTCGGAAAAAGATTGTTATTAACCACGTCCTGGCTATGTCTGCACGAAGTGTTGAAAATGTTTTTTACTATTCTAATGCTTTTTAATTTCAATTAGAATTATTTTATAAGATGTTTTTTCGAGAGAATCAAAACAAAGTCATGTGATGAAATTTCAACGAACAATGTTCGTCAAAAAAATGCCAAAATTATGCGGACATCGACATGTACAATTCCGATATATCTTGATACAAAAATAATGTTTTATAAATGGCAATCACATTTAAGCGAAGGGAGAACGATTGGGACTGCAAATTCATTTAAATTTATTAGAGCAAGCATACATATTTAACTATCATGACAATTTTATTCTGATACATCACACCTCACACCACACGCATACAGGCATACATGTTAAAAGAAGATAAACCCGAAACTTTATTAATAGAAATTAATAGAAATAATACATAGGAAAATGGCAACGGGTATTTTATTTAATATCCCATGCATTAATTCGCAACTTGACTTATACCCAAGACCTAATTGTAATTAGCAAGAAAAATTGATTGTCTGGGCATTATAAACTTAGTTAATCAATTAGATTGATACATGTAGAAAATAAGCACGTTAATATGAAATAAAATTCTGTGTTTCTATTGAATTTATTTAGCCATATCCATCAACCTACAGCTTAAGAAATTTAGTACATCTAATTTTTAAGAGAACCAGATGGTGAATTATTATTATCTACAATTGCAATAAGAATTAGTATCGTAAATTTCAAGTTATTTTGGAAAGAAAATACATACTTGTATCGTCCAAACCAAAATGGACACTCTCTTTTGACGCAACGAGTTTTGCTAACGAGGTTGTTAAACTCAGGAGTGTCTAGTGTTGGTTTTTTGAAGGATGATTTAAGTTCTAGGGGAGCTAATCTTGGATTTTTAAGTTTATCAACAAAAGCATTATAAGACTCATATAAGATACTCCGTAGGTTTAATAAAATATAAAGTTCATCTATAAAGCTACATATGTCCTTTATAGTTGCAGGTACTGATATCTGCGCAATATGATTCATCATGTAAAGTCATTCCCCATTTATATCTAGTATATAAAAATCTATTTTATATGCGATGCATTGAAACCCCAATATCTTGATGTCTACTCCTTGAGAAATTTCAGAGTCAATACAGTCTTTCATGAAAACTCCAATCCTGAATAAGTCAAGGCAATTTTTGTATACATTATTTTTCTCAGTTGGTCCAGTTACCTCACCAACAAAGATCACATTTGTTGCCCGTGACTGATAGTTGACTGAAACAACAAAATCTGGCTGTTTCGTCCTTGACCCATCGAATTTCCTTACTTTGCTTTCTGTTAAGGTCGTGTTTGGCCATCGAACTATATGTTTGTCAGGGACATAGAAAACATTTTTCATGACATTGTCTAAATAGTTCGTTATTAACGTTAATTCGCTTGGTTCGTTCCTTATCTTATTGTACAGCAGAGTTCTTATTAAATCTAGTATCAAGAACCCGAAATTATCTATCAATTCATCTTTTTGTACAATATTTGCACATAGCAGTTTGATGCCATTATCACGAGAATCATTTAAACACGTTTTGATCACTTTTCTATATATATTCTCAACCTCTATATCTAATTGTAGAGATAATTTTGGCGTATATCTTCTGTGAATCGATTCCAGTACATCTAAACTGAACGCCTCCACCATTTTAGTAGGATAAGAGTTCGGTATGAGAACAAGGATTGATGACAATGATGGGTATTCGTTTCAAAATACAGTCCTTTATCGTTAGCATATGATATGGCTTCATTAATATATTGTCTAAATTTAGCCGATATGTTAACATTGTCTAAGAAAACATCTAAATCGGAATTTAATGATGGTATGCGTGAAGAACGTTAATAATAATAATCTTTTCATCGGCGAAAGGGTCTTCGGGAGCGCATGGAGTTGGAGATATGAATCCATCATGTTTTGAATCATCACTTTCATGACTTGAATTGATATATGGATCGCCATCTAATTCGTTGGATAAATCTTGTTCGTTATTTGATATTTCTACGTTAGCAATACTTGGACCCTTTTTGGATGTAGAATAATGTCAGTCTTTACGGTCAATAAACAAAAAAATCATTGATTGATAAATGTGCTCTACTAACATTTGCCAACCGTTTTGGAGAGCTCTCTTTTGCGACATCTAGAAACCGCTTCGTAAGTCGAGAGATAGGTATAGTTTTTGCATTAACCGAGTTATTGGTGTCAAGTTCTGATTTTTTCTGGTCTTCCAACAATACATTTACAACGTAATCATTTTCGTTTGAATACATAATGTAGGTTTTTTCACGGCGACTTTCAGAAATTTGGATCTGTTATATGTTAAACCGCTGCAAAATTGATTAAAGGAACTAGTCCATAAGATTTGTAACATACCCTATGAATTTTTTCGATGACACAAGACCAATCAGGTTGGTCTTCAACCATCTATATTTTGATAGTTTAGAAAATTGTTATTATAGTTTCGTAGTTTGAAATTTTTTATAATTTCCTCCTGTGACTAATTTATCAAAGCAGAAAATTCGCAACAGCGTGAAATGAGGACGACACTCATGCTTGCAGTCTGGGACGAAACGAGACGCAAGTTTCCAACACCATCACTAGGGTGAGGACGACACTCATACTCGCAATCTGGGACGAAACGAGACGCGAGCTCCCTAAAATCAGAAAGAAGTTGGTACTTCCTTTGATTTTCATAATTTCTGCAGCCGAAATAAAACGTTTTTTCCACGTGCGATGCAGTTCCACACAGTTATTTGTTTTTGAAAGCCTAGCTATTGAATCAACGTTCAGGCGAACAAACTCAGAAAAGCGCGGGACAATTTCTTGTTCCAATGTCCACAGGAAGTACGACTCAAGGACTGAAAATTCGGTATTGTATCGATGAGTAAATGTAAAAAACACGTCTGTTTCAGAAAACATGTACTTGCCATCGAATCCATACGGTTCTTTCTTTTGGTGGCTCATACTAGGAAGAGAGTAAACAAATTGATGGTACTGTACATAACACATCGGGTATTTCAGTAATTTGTGCCAGTAATACAAACTCCTAAAAAGAGAACAGCTAATCAATGTGTTCAAATTTTGGTCACTCGCATTTTGAAATCAAAAAATTACGCGTTCCTAATTATTATATTACGTAATGATGAAATTTTAGTCACGTGCGCGTTCTGCGGTAATATTTTCCGAATTCTCGATTTTTCAGATACATAACTAATCGGAAAATAATAAAGGAAGCAAATGAAGTAAATGAAATGAATGATACTATCAAAGAGAGAGGGAGCACGCGGATCCTAGGCGAGTCCCAGCATAAACTTATTTTTTTGCTCAGACTTTTTATAAATTTCTACATCTAACTTTTTTGCTAATTACGAGATTCTCAACCTCTATGTCGGGCCATATAAAGTATTAAGTTATGCAAGAAAACTTCACTATAGTTAAGTAATTTTGGTTAGGGTACTAATTCCAGAAAACTGAAACATGTCAATTTCTACTTGTGCCCCGTCTCACAAATTAGTTATGCATAACGATAAGCCTTGTAAGCCCTATGAAAAAATATATACAAAAATAATAAAAAAAATTACAAATAATATACAGAATATAATATATATATACTGAATAATAAGTTTATATAATAAATTAATATTAAATTTTTATACTAGATAGATATGGAATCATTTTTGATACGGAATAAATGTTGAATTGTTATACTGAATAGATATGGAAACATTTTTGATATGGAATGAATGCTGAATTGTTATACTAAATAGATATGGAATTATTTTTGATATGGAATGAATGCTGAATTGTTATACTGGATAGATACGAAATCATTTTTGATACAAAATGAATGTTAAATTGTTATGTTGGATAGATACAGAATCATTTTTGATACAGAATAAATATTGAATTGTTATACTAGATAGATATGGAATCATTTTTGATATAGAATAAATATTAAAATATTATAGATATAAAATTATTTTTTATAACATATTAAAGCTAAAGAGAATCTGAGATCTGATAGTTATTATATAACTATAACTATACAAAATAATAAATTAATATATATTAAATATATTGAATAAAATATAAAATCATTTTTAAATAAAAAATATTTAAATTTACTTTAAAATTATATTATTTTTTTTATCTAATATATAATATTTATTATTAATTTTAAAAAACCCTACACAACTTTTAATAGCTTGTATATTAATAAATTCTTTATGACCAAAGTAATGAAATTTTTTAATTCCAAATTTATGTGATTTTTTATCAGAAATATTAACTCATTCAATATATGCAAACATTACAATTGTATTATTATATTCATGAACAAAATACTATAAAACTACCAAAAAACTATTTAATTATAAGTCTTTTGGTTTTTTGATTTTGATTAGATACTTTTAATTTGTACTATAAAATATTAAAATAATATTTAAGGGTAGGGTGTAACATTTTAAATTTATATATAAACTTGATGGTATATTTTTTTTGTAATCTTAATTACGAAAATTTTTATTAATTAA